ATTTACCTCAACAGTCACTTTGGAGATAATTGGTCTATGCTTGAATGTTCTATGCCCCATGCAAATTTAAAAATAACAAATACTTGTTGGAAGCATGTCACATGTTTAAGTTCCCACCTTTGCATTAGGATGTAGAGCAGTTACTATTTTCATGGTATCAATGTAGTAATACTGCATCACATGTTTTAAATCTATTACATAGCGAGTATTGAACTGAAGCTTTATTGAAAAGAGATTTAAAAGATTATATCGCAAATCAAATCGAATTATTTCTATTCTTTTTTGTTTGTTCAGTTTTGCGTCAATCATGTGTTACAAACGTCATCAAGGTTGAAAAACAAAGGTACAGCAGGTACCACTAATCCTGACTGTGAAACATGAATCTCAAGGACAGCAAAGATGGCTGATGACTTGTTTAATAAGAGCAGAGGTGTTACAGCACATGGCACTCAACCACAGTAAACAATGAGTAGCTGAAAAAGGTTTGTGTGACCCTGCAGTGATTGTGTGTGTTGCAGAAATGCCTGGCTAAAGCTAACAAGCTGGGAAAGCAAAGTAGAGAGGATTGTTATTTAGAGGGAAACTAGGAGGGAGGGGAATGAGGAGGCACTGCAGCATGAACTCACTCTTGTACATGTGCTCACAATTACTTCTACCACCAACTCTAACAACAGATTAACAAGGATCTAAGAGTCTAACTTAACTTGCACTAAATCTTTAGAGTCTTAACTAAATCTATTTTACCTTGTTGCAAAAATCGTTGCTCCCTCTCCTGGGGGTTTCCTGCCAACATACCACAGACTAGGATACAGTGAATTCATTTATCTGACACTATTCCTGCTTTGAACTCTCTGCTACTGCTTTTTCCAACCAAGGACCAGTGCCAAGATGACACTGCTCATACACAAACTATTTTACAAGTGTTATCCAACAACCTAAATCAAATTTCCGATGGAAATTATCTGTAACTATCAAAGTCCAAAAGCCTAATCTTTAAGTGTTAACCACATTTACAAATCAACTCTAAATGTAGAACACACTCACAGCCACACTCTGCAATGTTGAGAACATAGAGTTTCTTGTTTGGGATTTTAATGAAGTTCCCTCAAATCAATGAAAGATAACCCTTTGGATTTACTCTTAAAAAAAACTCATTGGTAATTCAATTGATTAACTTGTCTGATGATAAGTTACCTTAATCAGTGTTTCCCCAATGATTTTTTAAGCAGCTGGGGCAGGATGTGTCTGCCCGTCTCTGTCGTTTAGAAAAACGATCACATTTGTTGAGTTAATAATTTTTTTCAATATGTTTAAATACCTGTTTCATAAACTCTGGTACCAATCAAACAAACCAAGTAAACTTCAGTAATGTTCAGATCCTGATAACTTTTGACTAGTGATGGTGTTTATTCTTAACGGGTCAGTGTGGGAATGAGGAGGAAGGACATGTGGCAGGATAATACGGCACATTACAAGGATACCAGATTCACAATGTGCTCTCTGTGATCCAGAGGCAGCTTGCCGCAGCTGGCTGTTGGGGAAACCCGGCTTAGTTCATTTTGTTCCTTCCAATTTTTTATTTTTTATTTAATTTTTTTTTAAAGGAAAATGTTTATTCTAATGGATGTTGAAGGCAGTGGGAGGATTAACCCAAATCTAAGAAAACAGTGTTTTTCAAGAGTAGGCTCAAAATGAGTTGACCTACCTGTTCTTTGAGAGCGTCTCTGTAGTTTAAGATCCTCTTTCTGTTTGACTTGGAACTCTCTGAAGGGAAAACACTGACGTGTGAGTCCACTGTAGCAGTTTCAATGCCGGGCCTTTTTGCGGAGTTAAAGAAAAACAGTGCACACATGTTATCAAGATTTCTCCTTTTACTCCTCTTACTTTTTCAAAGTAGAATTTCAGCTGGTCTAAGCAACGGAGAGTGGGAAAAAGCAATGACTTACAATGAAAGGCAAATGTTTTACCTATCAAATGTGTTTTTATTTCATGTCTGCTTCAGAGGCTGGGAACTTAAAGTTCTTGTAAACGTTGGCAATTCTGTCAGCTCTTCAGAAAACCCACGGGGTTTAGGAGGCTTCATACAATGCAAATAGGTTTGGGATGTGTTTTTATTCTGCACTATAGTTCATAGTGGGTTTATCTTAACTTGGCGACATTAAATGCATAAGTAACACGAGTATGAGTTACCGTCATGTCCCTTCTTCTCACTTTTTTAAAGAGAAATTACACACACATATGCAGCAAAACCATTTCACTAAAAGAAATTAGTTAAGTTGACAGGAACACATCATGATAATAATAACAATAATTATGAATTGTCTCAGCTTGCTTTCTTAGCCAACATGCTCAAACTGAAGAGGAGATATTTACTGTAATGGTGGTTCAGGGACGCTGCTGCCACTGTGTTGGTTATGAGGACTGTGGTTACCAAGCTGACTGGGTACAGCACCCCCTGGTGGTATGTTCCAGTAGGAGATTGGAAGGCCAGCGCCAGGAACAGACAAATGACCATCTGCACAGAAAAAAATAATGATGAAATCATGATGATACAACTAAATTAAGTTTTTTAATATAGTTTACTAAAAACTTATTTTAACCTTGTGTAAAAGAGGAAACCAATACTCACAGTAGGCCATGTTTGGGTCAAGCAGGTTTCTGTTGCCATAGCAGTGGGGCTCAGCATACAGGCTCCTGTAGGTTTCAGTGAGTGTTGAGGGAGGATGTGGAGCGAACAGAGGCATTCTGGAGACACAGGGTTATGTTCAAATCCAGACCTTTCTGTAATTGTTAGTTTTCTGGCAGTTTTTCATTGATTACATACACACATAACAGCCAAACATCACTTTATACAATAGTTTTGATAATGATCAATCAAAACAGCCATCCTGTCCACAGCTATATGCAGGCTGATGGTATACCTTGGAGTGTCCATGGCTCTGGGGAAGGAGGGGGCAGCAGGCTGACTGCTGGGAGACAGACCTCCACCTCCCAGACCCAGGGCAGAGCTGTACTCGAGCAGAGGGGACTGGAAGGCCACATGAGGCTGCTCAGGAGGAGATGTTTCTCTTTCTCGAACACCAATCTTCTCATTATTGTGTAAACCTCTCAACAATGATTCACTCTGTCCTGTTGCTGAAGGCTCTGAAACCTGAAGATATTTTCTCCTGCTCAGTCCAAACTGCCTGATTCGGTCCGGCTGGTTTGTGGATCAGGAGAAAACAGGGATAAAATTCATTCTTGTGTCCAAAATAGCATCACTGATAAACACATAATGGTTTCTATTTTTTTAAATGGGTATAGGTTTTCTTCATAATAGATTTTTTTGGAGTCCATTATTTATTCAGCCCCTCCTGACTTGCTGGCTTTTTCTCTCTCTCCTACTCGTAGTAACACACAAACACATTGTCATTGGACAAGTGTAAACTCAGGCTGGGCTTAAACCATTATTGTTTTTTGCAAACACAAATTAAACAACAAGTTTATTCACATAGAGTGGGGTAGTGAGATCTGAACACAAGTGGTCACAGGAGACACATTCAGGACGCATTCTAATGAGCCTCAGCTTGATGCTGAGCTCATAACATTTCTTCCTGACAGTTAAGTAAACAACTTCTAACGCTAACTTTAGCCATGCAGCAACAGCAGAAACTTACATGTCCTTTAAAAGTAATATTTTACTGAAACTAAAAGTTAGCTGTCAGCTGACCTTTTTCTCAGGATCATTCATTCCCGTCGCAGCAACTTTCAGCTCCAAATCTTTCTCCCTGCAACAAGGACACAAACATACTTCTTACAGCAGTGGTTCTAAAATAAGGATCCGAGGAACACTGCCAGGTGGTCCATGAAATGTTTCCACATTCATCCATTAAAATGATCATGATGTATGGGTGTTCTGTGTTGGTGAAAGTATTTTTAATACGCATCTGTCTTTCTAAGACACTGTTGTTCTTTCACATAACTAAAAAGAAATGTTGAAAATATAGGCTATGTCAAATTATTCCAGAAAACATGGGGGGACAAAATTCAGAGCCTCTGTCCTACAGAATTATTAATGTTAAGCAGACTTAGCAATGGTAAGTATTTTATTACATACAATTAAACAGGGATGTTCAAGAGACGGCGCAGCAATTTTGCTCAATGGCACTTTAAGAAGATTCCAAGCTCTGGATGGCAGCTGCCCATCTCTCTTGAAAAGGACATTCAACCTTTCAGAAGCCCGTCTATCATATGTCTCTATACAGGTGTTATATTGAACAGAACAACGGCCACTGACAGAGTACCTTTTCTTGTTCCTGTGTTGTTCAGCGATCTGCTCCTGCAGCTCCTGTCTGTAACGTTCTTTCCTTCTCTGCAAAGCCTCATCTGTATCTGCTGCTCCTGAAAGATTGAGACACAGATGAAATTGGCAAAATTGGCAAAAGCTTTAAAAAAGTTTTTAAAGTATAAGTCAATGTTCAACAAATGTTGGACCTTCGTTTTTTTTTTTTAAAACAAAATGTTCAGTTGCTTAATAGACAACATTTTTTAACCTATTAAAAGACCAGTAGCAAACTCAGCATCCTGTGTTTTTGATCTCCTGCCCTCTCTGGCAAAGTTGAATGGATTCTCCTTCTTCTCCCTGAGGGAAGACAAAAAAAAAACTGATTGATGGTGAAATAGATGAATACAGACAAACAATGCATTTAAAGCACACACATAAAGAAACGATGTATAATTTTCCCAGCTACCTGCCATCAGTCTTATTGGTTTGTCTCTTCTCATAACTGGCCTCAGTCCCTGTATATCTTTGTCTTCTGCCTTCCATCAGCTCCTCCTTTAAATACTCATCTTCCTCTGATTCCAGCTCCACTGGCCTCCCCAGCCTGCCGTGATGCCTAAAAGCCAGTGGCGACTGCTGCTCTTCGTCCTCAGGACAGAGGGTCTTAGCCTCAGCGAGGTGCAGAGCCCTGTGAAGCCCCCTATTGTCCTCTGTTAGAGTGGCTGCATCCCTCCGAGATGAGGCCGGCAGTATGGGAACGCGGTCTTCAAGGTGTTGCTGGAAGAAACATAATTTTAAAAGGCAATGTTAGGGTGTGAGGAGAGCATCACAAGATACATATTTTTTATTTTATTTGATCTATATCCATTGTTCTGCCTACACTGGTTTAGAGAAACCTGGGGATTATGGATCATTTCTGGGGGTCACCAGATGGACATAAGAACACTACGCATTTATGGACACTGGGAAACAAAGAGGCATTTAGATCTTTCAATAAACCTCAGTCCATGAAGAATAAAATAGCACTTGATTTCTGTTTTACTCATTCCTTTCCTCTTCCATATATTTTAGCAGCCATCCAGAAATAATGAGATTTAGCCATTTTATTAGACATTCTTAATTCTTAGGTAATTTAGTGAAATACCAGAAACTGAATCAGATTTTGAGATCAACTGATATCATAATGTCACTAAAGAGAAGTAGTTACCTTGACACACGCCCTGTTGTTGAGGGGATTAAGTGGACCAGGCTCTGCACGGTCAAAGTGTTTTTTCTGTAACATAAAATGTTCCTGTCATGATCCAACATTTTGAATATACACTCCAACACAGGTACAACAATAAAGTTGGTGTGAACCTACGGATCACCCTACAACTGAAATCTCAAAGAAGTTAATAGATGGGTCCCATCCCAAACGCTGGATCCTCAAATGTACCCACATGTAATGTTAGTCTAAATGATTCCTACTTTTATAATATATTGTATTTTTATATACTGCATTTTCAATAACATATCCCGAACATGAGAGGAGAAGTTTATGCTGGGTTTCTGTATTAATGACATCCTACTGCGTTTTCATGTCTGTTACCCACTTGAATCAGCAAACACAGCATGGTGATGTGAAACTTAACAACAATAACTGAACACTACATGGATTATGGGATACTGAGAGTTGCAAAGGATACCCCACCTAATTTGGAAGAGTTAAAAAGATAATGAAAACCACTGTTGGCCACATACAACATCAACATAAAAATTCAAATTTCATTGGCTCCAGCTCTGATCACAGCGAACACCACACAGATTTGACTACAGTGGTTAAAGTGGATAACTGTGCAGGAGATATATAGCTTATAATACAAGAGAATAATATTTCAAATTTTCCTGTAACTTAACAGCTATTTAAAACAAACAAAAGAAGTCACCTGAGCCATGTATTGCCTGTAGTCCATACGCAGCTCATGCTGCAGCCTCTGCTTCTTCCTCTCGTATTCCACACCGAGCGGCAGACCCAAACTCTCCTCTGATAAATCACATCAATATTTCCCAGAGAAACAAGGTCAAGAGATTCATGTCAAAAAATGCTACCTTAAAGATAAATCTACTCTGAAAACCATTGTTTACATGACAAAAATTCACTTTAGGTAACTGTTAATGATACATGTAAGGTATTTGCTTAGGGCAAGAATCTTTTAACAATTAAGAATTAAAGGAGTGAATGTGGTGATGTACCTTTTCTCTGTGCAACAGACTTGGGGGGGATGTTCTCCTTAACAGTTGACTCATAGGCTCTGTGGGGTTTTGCCTGTCCGTGCAATATAGAGGAACATCATGTATAAAACAACCAGAAAACAACAGGATCACTGCTAAAGGGTCGTTCCACACTTCCTTTTCTTACCTAACTAATACTAATAGGCACTCATTTTGATATGGCTGTTAATGTTCCTAATAGTGGCTGTAATAAAACTATTGGGAAAGATAAATTATCTACTCCAGCCCTAATCCACCTGCGTCAAATCAATCCCACTGGTATCAGCACAGAACATGCTTCCATGCACATTCTGCAAATATCTTGCATCACTGATGCTTGTGACTTTTTCAGACCATTTCTGAGTTCGGCTTAAAAATAAATGCATTTTACTGGATGAGCTACAGGGTTTAAATCTATGTGAATATATCAAAATAAATGTAAGAATTCAGAGCACTTCATAAACAATGTGTGAGGAACCATAATTTAATGACCTTTATTTCCATGTAAGGAGGGTCTTGTTGTAGACTGGCTTTATCCTCGGCCACTCTTGCCTTCCGCTCCCTGATGAAGTTCTCCAGCTTGTCATCCATCTCCATTACACTAAGTTACACAACCCAGCTGAGGAAACACACAAAAGTTTTGGATTCTTAACATTCCTCAAAAAAAAAAACTAAAACAATATTTAACAGTTCAGATGTTAAAGAGATTCCAGGGTGAAAACCTGATGTGTTCATCCACAGGAAGTAATGATCACAACTGTGTAAGCCTAATAATGTGTAATGGAGATTAGATCTCAAACAAACAGCAGCTAATTGATTCAATCCCCATCAAGTTTACATGATATGAGCCTGACCAGCTGAAACATACAAGACACCCATACATGTTATTTCATATCATACTGATAACGACTATCTACGATTCTCTGCCAAGTTAATAATGACACTGTCTCTTTAATTTCCCGTTGTCAGGCAACCACGGTAAATGCGTTCAGCTGCTAATTCAGCGCTATTCATTATACCTGTGGCTGTCGTCATGACAACCGGTGATAACTTCAACACACGCTGAGCCACACGGTTCACTGGAGTATCCCCGGCTGCGTTAGCTAGCCTGTTAGCTTCGAGGAGCGGTAACCCCCAAAGTGAAGAGCGGGCACATTAACTCGTGAAGCTAGCCTCAGCTAACGGCTAGCCCCTCGCACCATTAGCTTCATGAACAGAGAGCGGCTGCGGGTTTTCCTGTGGTTGGTATGAAGTCTGACCTACCATGGAGCGAGGCTCCGCTCCGACCTGGCCGAACAAGGAGACGTTAGCTCGCTGACAAGTGTTGGCGCCGCCTGACTCGTCTGTGAGCCTGAAACCACAGGCGACCATATCACAGACACCTGACTTCCGCTTTCAAGTGTCACAATAAAAGCCCATGTGACGAAACGCTGCAACGCACTTTAACATTGATCAATACTTTGCTAAAATCATTTTTGATCCATCTATAAACTGTAAGTAGACTTTATGCTCGAACAATGTTTCATGTCATTCAGTAAAACCTAAAGGTATTTATACATGATCACTTGTGTATTTTTTTTCATTGTCAGATATTGTGGTGCAGATCAGTTCAGATGATATGAGGAGAAAGCTCTCAGTCTAACACTGCTGGAGCTTTAACTGAACCTATTGCCATGTGTAAAATAATTTGTGGCAATTTAAGTAACTACAACCACACATGCTCCATTTCAGCACCATGTGGAGCAGCTACAGTAATAATATAAGTGATATAAGAATAGTAATTGTTCTTCCCAGTCACAAAGCTATTACACACAGGCTGAAACAGAAGCACAGCTTCTTCAATGACACTCACAAAACATTGAAGACATGCAACAAAAGCACATTTTCTCCCCAAACACCACAACCTGTGGTCAAATGAATGTATTTGTTCTTTTGTACTTTTTGTCCTGTTGACTTGTCCCTAGCCTTTTCAAACCATTTGCAAAGGGCAATGCAGAGGTGGTGCTTTTAGATATGGATAACAAAAGCTTCACACTGATGTAGTAGAGATTCATACTTATATACAAGTAATTTCTAGCAGCTGTGACATTTGGCTTTTGTTTGGCATAGTTAAAGTAATATACTTTTATGAGATCTGTGTTAACTGTTTTGAAAGAGGATGTTAAAAAAACATTTGCCTTAGAAATTGAGAAAAACTGTGAGGCTACATTTAGGGCCCTGCAAAAACATCAAACCGCAACTTCAAGCAATAATCTATGTAAAGTGCCTTGGATGTAAAGTGCCTTGGGATAGTGCATGTTATGATTTATAAGCAAATAAAACTGAATTTAAATTGAATTGACATGCATGCTTTTATTTTAAAGACAACATCATACACTTCCTGTCTTTGGCCTTATATTCTCTGTAACGTGACAGCTCACCACTCAGCAGTGTGACGTCACTTGGTCCCCACGCTACACCCCCCCCCACCTTGTTTAGACTCAACCACCCTCCCTTTAGGGAACACATGTTGCATTCATGACCTGTGAAAACACTGTTGCAGCCTAAAGACGTTCCTGTCACACCAGTATGTTATTAGTGGGAAGTGAGAGATTAAACCCTCAACACTTTTAGATGCAGTTTAAAAACACGTGTGTCAATGAATTTCTCACTTTATGTTGAGTTTCTCGTTAACAGTAGTAGCAAGAAATATATTTTTTGATGATTTACACTGAAACATTTGAGTTTATCCCATGATGTTACTTGCTGTGTATGCACAACACACCTTGGAAGGTCCACTGTGTCAGTATGGAACTTCCATTTGCACAATAGACATAACTTTCACAATGATATTTTTATTCCTATATATAATCACCTAAAACAAAAAAATGTGATGTTTTCATTACCTTGCTTTCATTGTTGTATCCTCTTCCATGGAGGCTGCAGATGTTTAGGAAATCCTCATGATTTTGAAGAAAGAATAAAATGAACAACAACGTTTATTGAGAAATTTCTTTCAGGTTAAATTTAAAACTGTAGTTTATAGTGAAATAGAGATAACCTTTTTCTTTTTTATTACTCAGCACTTTAGAAATACAAAATAAGGCAAACATGAAATAACATAACAGTAAGAAAGAGAAACCAACAGATATACACTACCAGTGGTTATATGTGAAGTCAATATTGTATATTCACACAATCATTTATGTAAATATTATTATATAATAAATAAAGCTTTAATTTCGAGGTAAGAGGTGGATATTGTTCCTGTGTTGGACATCTTGTAGGTCCAAAGAGAGGGTTCAGCTTTTAACACCTTACATTTTTGGATAAATGGAGCAGAAAACACATCTGAATTCTTAGAACAAAAATATAAGATGTCATGCGTGTCACTGAAGCCTTCAGCCAATCAGAGCAGAGTTGTGTTGTCATAGAGGCGGCCCCAAGGTGCCGTAGCTGGAGGAGAGCAACTACATGGTCTGACACTTGGATGACACCACAGGAGCAGTTTGGAGGTATTTTATGTTTTTTCTGTTGTTTTTTTACATTTGAAGACACGGTCGCCATTTACTTCAATTGTATTGAATTTGGCTGTAGGCTGTTAACTCCTGAAACTCCAAAAGGGTTTTGTGGACTCGCCATCTGCATAGTGGTGAGTTCAGTTGTTACATCTTGAACGGGATTCTTACTTTACTCTGACTGACCTTGATTTTTGGGATCATCTCATGTTTGTCTGTTTGTTTGCTCAACTGTGCCTGCATCACTCACCACACAGTGGCCGTCTCCATAACCAGCTCATCTCACTGGTCTCCAACTCATCTCAGCCTCCCGTCTCATCAGTCTGCTCCCAAGCTCATTCTCCTGTTGACCAGTCACCCCCTACTCAAAACCCTTAGTGTCTCCATCCTGTACATCACCATTTCCTCTTTGACCTCAGCCTTCACCTGCCAGATCCCTAAACTCCCCAATAAATCTTGCCTGCATCACTTGTAGCTGTGCTCTGCATTCCAGGTCAACCATTCTGGAACCATCAAGTTCACTGATTCAAGGTGTAGGAAGTTGAATTTTTATAGCGCCTTTCAGGTGACCCCAAGATGTTTTACATATTTAAGTGAGACAGAAATATTCAAGGTGACAGAAAGAGACAAGGACAGATTGCATCTAATCAGGTCATATGCATTTTTAAAAAAGATGAGTTTTGAGTACGTTTGCTGTTTGTTTGTTTGGAGTTCGTCAGAGTCCGCTGGTCTCTCCTGATCATGTTCTCTATGAAACATATAGATTCTCATCCAAGTGAATTCAGAGTGAAGTTGCAGCGCCATATTTCTACTGTAGTTCAGAACTGACAAACCAAACACTGAGGGCATGTCCAAGGTGAGGGTTAGGCAAAGGGAATGCAGTTGGTTGCTATATGCAGCTTCACCACTAGAGGTAACAAAATCCTACACTCTAAATCTTTAAAAGTACAGTGTGTAGAATTTTGTGATATCTAGTGTTGAAGTTGCATGTTGCAGCTGAACACCCCTCACCTCACCCTCTCCTTCCAAGCATGAAAAAGAACCTGTGGTAGCCTTTAATTGTCATAAAAACTCAAAAGGTGTTCAGTTTGTCCAGTCTGGACTAATGTAAAAAACATGGCGGCCTCCATTGAGAGGTTCCCCTTAATGTAAATATAAAGTATTTAAATATAAAGGGCCCTTCTGGGGTAAAAAAAGATTATTTTACATACTGAATTTTAAAATGAAACTCATCTCGGTGATATTTTATGCTGTTCAGTGATGTTATATGCTCCAGGACACTGAATCATTGGGAACAATCTGTCTCATTAGCATCATATTTATAAAACTTAGATTGATTTTAGACTTAAGACCATTTTTAAGAAAAAACAGCCACATCATATTTTTGTTTGCAATTTATTGCTTATATAAACGCTCTCTAAACAATTTTTGGTAAAAATAAAATCTATCAATAATAATCATAAATAAAATCATCACAATTACTTTTACATGACATTATATTGCACAATTATAAGCTTTAACAAGAATCACAAAACACATGTGTTGTTGCTCAGGTTGTGTGTAGCAGGAATGTTCAGAGGTCCGTGGGCGATGATACACACTGTTCGCCTTCAGAGGGCAACAATCTGAACTTCAGCTGTTTGTTTGTTGCATTTAATCAATGTCTGTAGGTCATCAGCTCTAGTTTTTTTACTTTCACAAAATGTCATTCTACTTTGTAAACTTTAGATCGTCACAATTTACACAGGAACGTATGACTTCATGTTGTTTTGGTACAGATCTTTATCCTTCAGTGCTTTTAAACGTGGGTCACATGATGTAAAAACACTATTTGTTCTTGTGTAAATTAGTGTGTTCTCTGGTGCAGATGTGATCTGTCTAGTTAGACTGGTGTTTGAACAGGAAGAAGTCAGACTCCATGTGGCTTCTCTCCGTTCAGAAACACACATTTCTCTCCCAGCTTTTCATCACAGCAAAGTTCCTCCAACAGAATCAGCCTCAGAGCCTCACAGCTGACTAACTCTGCTGCTTTCTGTCTGAGGTTTAAACCAAAAGGCCATCTCCCTGTATAGCACGGCAGTTTATGATTGCTCAGCTACAGAAAGGCGAGATGAACCAGCAGAATGTCAGTTTCATCCGAAATGTTTGTGTTACGTGTATAAGTGTTCAGATGTTGTCCACCTCTGCGCTGAGTTCAGGACACAGTTCCTTGAGTAGCATTTCCATCAGCACCTAACAGAGACAGAGACAACATATATCATTTACAGTTAGATGCTTTGTAGTGAACATTATGAAAAGTGTATTTATGACAATGATGAGGTTTAAGATGTTATGTATTGTTCCTACATAGAGAAGGTGCTTGTTGGCACTGGCCTCCTGCAGGGCGTTAAAGATCTTAATGATTCCGTAGCGGGCGTTCTGCTGGCCAACCAAATTTGCTAAAGCATCTGATAGAAAACAAAAAATAAAGAGGTCAAAACACAGTATAGGTGGTAAATGGATTGCTGATGTTTGTTAGCATCGTACAACATATTCCTGAATCAGAACCAGGTATTCTAGAGTCACATTTCCACTCGTCCTACCTGGGATATTGTCAAGAAGTTTCTGCTGAGCCCGTTCCTTCGTTTCACTGCGTTCAGAGTCGGTTCGAACCCTGACGTGTGGTGCCAATTTCCCGTTGGGCCAGAAGGTATCCCTGAACACACCGGTGTAACACACCAACATCTGTTCACAGAAGATCCAGTTTACTGTGTCCCGGATCTGTCTAAAATAAAGCACAGAGGATGTTAGGCTCATTCATAATCAAAGAATTATTGGTCCTGATAATTACTATATCGACTTATAGTACTATATATAAACATGAAATCAATATTTGAGTTGACTTGGATAAATTGCCCATTGTGTTTACCTCCAAGTTTTTTTTTTTTAACTTAAGAATGTAACTGAAATTTAGCGAGTTGACGCTTCGCTCATCTTTGTGCCTGTCCATGTCTGGGAGCGAGGCGGAGTTTAAACTCACACACACGCCGGCCAACCCCGCCCCCACTCACTCACACACAGAGAACCAGATGAGACGAAGTGAAAACATTTTGGGTTTAAGCTGGATGAAAGAGCAGATTCCATTTTTATCACCGCTGCTTCAGGATTAGAGCTGTCGGGTTGTCCTCCCACTTCACTCCCTGCTAGCCTGCGCTCACTTACACAACTCACAATAAACACCAACACTAACCAGAAGACAACGAGACATGCACATTTATTTAACTTTTTAGTTCGGTCCATGTCCCACCTGCAAACAGAAGGGGTGGGTTTTATGACCTATACTGCAGCAATCAACTAGAGGTCGATGTTTTGGCTTCACTCTGGGGAGCTGTCATGCCATAGCTTATATGTAAACAGATAAATAAAATGTAACTTACTTGTTGATAGTTCGTCCAAATGTCACCTGGACTAGTGCAATTAGAGTCTTCCTCACCCACTTAAACACTGAACAGACAGAGAGACAGACAAATCCACTTAGTTAGAATTCATGATATAGCTCCATAAAGACATACTTGTTAACAGTAAGGGTATAATGTTCACACTTTGTATTTGTTATCTGTAAACAACATACTACTCACTTCCTCTGAGTTCAAAGATCTCTCCAATGAGCATGAAGCAGGGTTCAGCCAGTGCATCCCTCCTCCCATCTGGCTCATCGCCATAGTCTGACAGATCGCTGTCATCGTCATTCTCCTCCTAAAGACAGAGATGACACACAGCACCCAATAAGACATGGGGACACGAAGCACTTTGGGTGCTAAGACTGTATTCATTGTGGCGTAGCTTCAGCAGTCATGCATGAGGGCGTACCTCAGTGTGGGAGAAGAAGTCTCCAGGTAACCTCTCCAGGAAGGAGGCCAGAGAAAAAGAGGATTTCTTCTGAATCGACATCACCTTTAAAGATTGTACAAGATATTATCACTGGACTGTAAACAGTAAATCTACAATACACCAATCAATAAAACATTATGAATTATGTATTTATAATGTGACTCATTATCACTTTATCAATACATTCACAGGTTTATAATTTCAGCCTTAAGTAGCAAAAAAAGGGTGCATCCGTGTGGCGAATGCAGTAGAGAAGAGCTCACCAGCAAACAAAAACCAAATTTGACACAATCATCAGATATTGATTTAAAACATCTCAACAGATAATAAATATGAGTCCATACATCAAAGTTAATACAGATGCTGCTTTAAATGCAGGTATTCTTATTCATTCTGTCTACCTGGAGGGATTTGAAAACCCTTACTACTGAAATTGACCTAAGGTTTATTAATGCAATCTGCACTTTATCAAATAAAAGGAAAACTTAAAAATGTTAGAATTTTACAATGACTCTCTTACAGGGGCGTTGAGGAGGAAGGAAGAAGTTCTAAAAATATTTTTATGCTTGATATCCTGACAATAATATTTTAAAGGCTGGTTTTATTTGTAAAGCACGTTTGATAAGTTGGGTACCTTGAGATGCTCTGGAGACGGGCTGAGGAACGCGTAGAGAGCCTCTGACTGGCACAATCGCTCATCCGTCAGCAGACGCTGCAAAGACACACACACATAGACACACACAGCTTTAGTCAGCATCAACGTTTAGCGGTGATGATGAACCACAAGGAGGCAGCATTAGCATTGAGCTGGGTGGTGTGCTTCAGTCTTGAATCCTACTGGTGTAGTCCACCATTGGGAGAAATTGTGAAGTTCTAAATTATCTTAGAAAATAGAAATTACAATATAATTTCAAAGGCAAACTGTGGCAGCTGTAACTACAGAACACAAAGTATGTTACTGTACAGGGCTTGAGAGTGCAATAACACAAATAAACAGGCAAACAGAGAGGTCTGAAGAGTTGGCTTAGAGTTGCATATGGTTGACAAAATAAATAGTTGAAATAGATAGCTGAAAATAATAAGTAAAAGTAATGAGTAAATGGTGGAGAAAGTTCAAAACAGTGGATAAATTGTTCAAATATCTAAAAGAAACAGCTAAAGTCTTCAAATAGCTCAAACTAATGGATAAATGATTGAAACATCCAACTCAATCGAATACGACAGAAAAAAGCACCAAAGTCATCCTCTAGTCAGCTGGGTCATATATGAGTCAACTGTTATATCCTGTAGCTACAGTATGTCTTTTTTCCCACAATGTTTACCTGGAGAAAGGCATTGAGTTGAGTTTTGCTCTTGTCCAGGAACTTCTGGTCGATGGATTTGAAAGGAAGTTTACTGAGTGATGGTAACTGGAGTTTCTTCAATGATGGAAAACACTGAGAAATAAAGACAGACAGTTAATGTCAAACCACATTACTGCCAATATATGTAAAGTTTTTATCTTTGTTATTTTGCAGTGCAATTATACAATCCAATTTCTAAGCGCACTCTGAATCTCACTGCCACCAGCAGTTCATTTTGATACAATGGAATTATTTAATCATAGAAGGGGACGGAAAATACTTCAAAAGAGCACTGATGGTGATGTGTTGTGTGATGTGTACTCTGCAATATATCTATCTTAAAATAGACATTCTACTGTGGAAGGGGCGTGGGGCATTAGAACAGCAATGCAAACCTTCTATTTGTGGTGATGAGTGTTTACTGATGTTAAGAAAGATAAAATATCCCTAACATGTGCAGAATTTGTTGTTCCGTTACCTCAGTCAGTTTGCGATGCAGCATCTGGAACTCAGTGAGTTTCCTCTGGACGCTCCAGTGACTGTTGGCTGTCTCCTCTCCTTCCACCAGGCTAACACACACACTGTAACAGGCTACAGTCTCACCACCCTCCTCTGTGGCCTGAAACACACACACACACAGACATACAAAGTTAAAGTATCTAAGGTTCTGCACAACTAAGAATAGTTACAGACATTAGAACTACTGAAAACAAGCACTAAAACATAACCTATTTAATACCTACCACATCAGTAACAATGTTAAAGTTAAGCAGTAACAATTATCTTTTTGTCTGTTTCTTTTCCCCATTTTTCCAGTTTAGGGATATCCAAATGTTGATTAAAATAAACCATCAATCTTTTATATGCATATGGAATTACCCTCTGCAGGGTTGAGGGAGCTGCCACTCTGCTATACCATTTCCTACCACAGGGAGGCTGCAGTGCACTTTAGTTATTTTCCATCTTATATTATGTAGATTTTTTTAAATAATATTTTTTATGTTTATTTTGTATATAGCATTCAGAGTTGCATCTCTTGTATCGGTGCTAAACAAATAAAGTTTATCATTATGATTTTAACATAAGATACAACCTCAGCCCCACCTATAAGGTGCAATTCATGAGTGGAAAAGCTTGATCTGAATAACAGCAGACACATTTCACGTGACTCCGGACTGGACCACTCATAAATTCTGTCTGTAGCAAAACATGAGAAAGTTTGTGATTGCTAGAAGTTCTCTGAAATCACTCGCACTCACGAGTTAAGACCTAATCTGTTTGTACGAATGGTTGCATGAGGCCCGAGGTCTTAAGACTTTCCAGTTACAACACTCTTCAGCAATGTGTTTGTACATGTTTTACTTAGATGAAACCCTTTACTGGGGCCATTGAGGATGTCCACTAGGAAGCAGCTCAGTTTGTTAAGGATAATTAGTATAATGAGCCATATGACGTATGAAGTTGTAGTTACCTCAGCAGTAGTAATAGTCGCCCTCCAGTGCCCCAGGTTTTCACACCACCAGTCTGTCCTGGTGATATGTTGCTGGAGTTCACTGTGTTCTTTCTCCATGGCTCCAATCTCTTCCTTTAGTTTGCTAACAATCTACACAAACAGTGTAATGAAGAAATGACAGAGGATGAAAGAGAATGTGAAGTGGCTTTCAGTTCAAATTATGCTTTAAGACCACATTTTTAGCTTGTTAATTTTACTCAGATTTGAAAACACAAAAATTACAAATACACCAGGGCAGGGAAACAAGTAAGTCAGATTCTGTAATAGGATTTTAAAATAAACCACTGAGTAAACATATTGACACTGCAGTTAAGTTGAGGGCATCATGCTAGAAGAACGTGCATGAGCAGATTCACTGATTTTGATATTGTCTTTATGTGTTTGCTGCTGTGATACTGAACGTTTGGAGGGAATTCTACCTTTTTGTCTGGCTTTGGTGCATTCTGGATGGAGCCTAGCGCCTGTCGTTTGTACTCGAGTTTGTCATACAGTTGGTGGAGTTTGGTAGCAGCATAGCTGGCCTGCTCATTTATTCCTTTACTGCCTTCATCGCACACTTCTTCTACTCCATCGAGACCCTGGCACTGCACACAGAGGGATACAACAATAAAGACTTGATTGTCTACAAAGAGAAAGGGAGGAATATGAGCGGTCTGGGTATTCAAACAGATCAACATTCAGAAGTGGGCACATGTGGCGCTATCAGTGAATGTGTTTCTCACCACTTCATCCTTTTCCTCTGTGCTACACTGTGATTGGCTGTGCTGATCATCTCGTCTGATCAATCGATCGTAGAGGTCAGAAACTAGGAAGGATGGGTAATAACGTTCTCTCATTGTCTCAGTAACCTAGAGGATGGATGAGAGTAATAGAAATGCTTTATTACCAGTGAAGAACATCTTAACAATGTAAACATAAGTATAGAATTGTAGCACATTCAATAAAGAAAGGTCACATTTCTTGATTTTTATTTTGATATTTGCAGTCATCCACAATAGCTAGTCAGGGTTAGAGTTGCTTATTAAGAACAGTGGCAGTTACCTGTTCCTGTAGTCTAACAAAGACCTGTGTTCCTCTGTTCCCCACCAGACTCTGTTGAATCTCCTTCAGAAGAAACTTTTCCACTGGAATCTCTTTGCTCTCCACAAAGAACTTTTGATAGATTTCCCCAACGATTTGGGGAACCTCATTCTGTCCATCACACAAAGAAATTAACTTTAACTTATGTACTTATTTCACTACATTCATGTGTGTTGTGCTTTTTCCCTGATCAGAAATGTCTACTTAGTATTTCACTGGCAATACTGGAAGTGTAAATGACAGCTGTCACAACAACATGTGGTGGCGATTTGTCCACAAATTTAATTAGAAAAAGCCAAAGAATATCAACTGGAACCAAAATCAAAAGCCACTGAGGCACCTGAGGAGTGAATCTTATGCAGGTAATAAGTCCATTTTTCCAGGCAGGTGTCACATTTTGTGTGGTTTATTCTCCATTTGTTTGGCAAGCAAACTAACAAAAGAAAGGCAATGGCGTCTTCTGTCTCTCTTGCCCTGGTAAAAAGCCATGAACTCTTCCTAGTGCCTGGCTGTCTATGCCCGCCTACCCATTTATATATAAAATCACCTGGTGCCCAGTACCTAAAAACAAAAGCATTAACTATCTAAACTAATTAAATACAATTAAAACAACAATCCTTCAGCATTATTGAACTACTTATATTAAACTAAACAAAAAACTAAATAGCTCAACACAAAATTTGACAATATTATGGTAAACAACGAGAACAGGTACAGCACACTAACTAACTTAAAAAATAATTAATACACCATATACTAGCAGAAGTGTTGGGCTGAACCCTCTGGAATGTTTACGGCTCACCTTGTTGGCAGTTTTCAATGTTTCCGTCAGTTCCCAGAAGCTGATCAGAGCTCTTTTATCAACTCTCTCCATGTAAACTCTGAAATGCTCCCTGTAACCTGGATTACACAAGATGTCATCAAACTGCAGAATCTGGATGTGAAAGGAGAGAGAAATAAAGCAAAAAATAAACAATATGGCACAAAAACAAAATTCATGTCATTGATTTGACTTTAAAGAAGAATATGTCATTATCTGTTTAGAACAAAGGCGTGACAACAATGCTACATGGCTGTCTAAGTCCAAATTGGTTCTTTAAAACTTAAAACTTCTCAATTCACATAAGTCTTACCTTCTGACTTTGAGGCTCGTCGCTGTCGTCAGCCCCTCCATCCTCATTGTTTTCATAGTTGGGTCCTCCGAGGAGGCGGATCCGTTTCTCACATTGTTTCTTAGCAACAGTCAGCTGATTGATATAACGTTTCATATCTCTGGCCCTCAGCAGATCAGCCTTCATGGCTGCCGACTCTTTACCTTTTCGCTCTAAGAGAGAGAGGAAAGCAGAGTGAGGTACGATCTACGTGCTATGTGTTTCTGTGGTGGACCAACCACTTTTGAGAGAGAGGGAAGTGGTGTGAGGTACCATCTTCGTGTTACGTGTTTCTGTGGTGGACCAACCACTTTTGAGAGAGAGGGAAGTGGTGTGAGGTACGATCTTCGTGTTACGTGTTTCTGTGGTGGACCAACCACTTTTGAGTTGACAAAATGTTATAGATATATATGACTTGGCTGAGCTCCTCATTTTGCTTACAGCGCCACCAGTAGGTTGACATATTCAACTGTTACCGATATGTCTTGAGAACGTTTGGATAGACAGAAAGATGTAGAACTCTAATGACCTTGTAAACCTTGTGCAACCGCTCGATTGAAGTTGTTTTTTACTTAAAGAGTGAAATATTGTATCTCAATGTCTACTTTATGTATTGAGTCAATAATATGAGCAGATATTCATGTCACCAAAAGATGAATTTGAATAAATACAGTGATCCCTAACTCAACAGGTAAAAATCTTAGTTGGCAATACTTTGATTTAGGACAAAATCCCTGCAAAACTAACATTTACATCAGCCTCAGCTATACTCTGTGTTTAATGCTTTTGTTAATATGTTGGCATGCAATCATAAGCATTTAGCTGAAACCAAGTTCCTTAGTTCAGCCTGAGTCTTGACTCCAAGATTAGGTATAGGTTGGCTCTTGGTCTTTAACCTAATTTGACATGAGGGTCAACTCTCTGCTGACAGGCTGCAATTGACTGCCACAGCTCAACTGTCACATGAAAGCTGACCCCCCAGCCCTCTACAAGGGTTGTGAGAAAATAATTCTTGTCACTGTTTGATGCTTCCTTATTGAGAGTATGTTAACAGCAGATATAGTAGATTTTTACCTGCGTTGATTTGAAACTGTTTTGCCAAATTATAAGTAATTATCCACATTATCCAATGTTTAAATAACCATTTAATTAAAGCAGTTTGTCTGTCATACAGTGAAATGCAGTGTTTTTTGTACCTTTCTGCTTCTTGAGCTGAGGCAGGCTGCTGATGGTGGTGGCATGAATAATCTCTACCACTATCTGATACCTACAACATAGAGACAGGAGAAAAAAATACATCAGTTATTTTAATCAAAGTGATGAAATCAAAAAGAGCTTTCTCGAATTAATAAACTGAACTAAACAGAAGATGTAAATTCAGTGGTAAATTGTAAAATAAATGCACAAGAGTAGAAAACTGAGCTTATGTTTTCAGAAACTCAAACAATGTCTCAAACTAACAAGACAATATAGCAGAATCATGTCTCGTCTGCATTTAGATCAAGTATTTTCTTGCAGAGGCATTGTCTGTTCCTATGGTAACCCCACCGCAGCACACATGATAGCCGTTAGCACTGTCTATAATGTTTGTCTCTACATACAGTATGGTTGATTTGAGGGAATATTTGTGGGTGCAGATCCGTCTGTTTAATGGGGCAGTGCAGGTGTGCACAGTGCATGTGTGTTTCATGCCTGAGTTGTTTGAGGAAATTGACATCAGTAGAAGTTGATATTAGTTTGATGAAGTCTTCGTAGGAGGCAGCGTAGGTGTAGGCTTTCTTCTGCTGCTCAGCCTGCTGCTCCCTCTGCTCCAGCTGAGACAACAACATCCTGTTTATGGAGTCTGGATCACTAAGGACCTCCACCAAAGGCTTCAACACTGGAGCACACACACACACACACACAC